ATAATTTTTTAAAAAGTATTTAGTCTAAGAATTGTGAGAAACCTCTGCTCGAAATTGTACAATTCGAAAGGAACCAAGTGATTTTTTAAATATCTTGATACATAAACAAATTAATAGAACAAAGAAGAGTTTGAATATGAAAGTTTCTTTTTACACAATAATTTAACAAACTTTAACACTTTGCACAAAATGTTTTTTTTTCTGATATCGGAGGAGATATGATGTAAATAAACGGAAATTGCTGATATCAAGAAAATTTTCCTGAAGAATGATTGATTTTTAAAACAAACCAATCAGCGTAAATTTTTTATATAAAATGGCGTAGGCTTTAAGGTAAAAAAATCCAAAATTGATAGGAAACTACAATTTTAAACCATACAGTTAGTGCACTTCTTTCAATATTTTGATATTTGATCAAATTAACAGAAGATACATAATTTTAAATCGAGACCGATTTGAGAAAATGTATTTCTGTCTTTTTAATGTAATTTTCTCTGTTGTTAGCAAGCATAGGAATAAAGTAAGTAAAAATTTGTGATTCTGAGAAAATTTCCTATAAGAATGCCACATTTTTAAGTTGAAATTGTGAATTTAAATTTTTTTTTTATAAAAATGGTGGATGCGCCGGGAAATTTTTTTTTTTTAAATATTTAGTGTAAGAATTGTGAGGAAACCTCTGCTTGAAATTGTATAATTTGGAAGGAACCAAGTGATTTTTTAAATTTCTTGACACCTATTCAAATTATTAGAACAAACAAGAATTTGAATATGAAAGAATTTTTTTTACAGAACAACTTAACAAACTTTAATATTTTGCACAAACTGTGTTTTTTTTTCTGATATTAGAGCAGATATGATGAAAATAATCAGATTTGTGATACCAAGAAAATTTTCCTGCAGAATGATTGATTTTTAAAACAAATTATTCAACGTAAATTTTTTATATGAACATGGCGGAAGCTTTTCGCTAAAAAAAATCTAAAATTTTTAGGAAACTACAATTTAAAACCACATAGTTATTGCACTTATTTCAATATTTTGGTATTTGACTAAATTAGCAGAAGATACATAATTTTACATCATGATAAAATCCGGCATTTGAGGACCGATTTCAGAAAATGTAATTCTGTCATTTTAATGTATTTTTCTTTGTTGTTAGCAAGCATAAGAATAAAGTAAGTAAAAAGTTGTGATTCTGAGAAAATTTCCTATAAGAGTGCCACATTTTTTAGTTGAAATTGTGAATTTAAATTTTATATAAAAATTATGGATGAGCCGGGAAAATTATTTTTTTTAAATATTTAGTGTAAGAATTTTGAGGAAACCTCTGCTTGAAATTGTATAATTGGGAAGGAACCAATTGATTTTTCAAATTTCTTGACACCTATTCAAATTAATAGAACAAACAAAAATTTGAATATGAAAGAATTTTTTTTACAGAATAACTTAACAAACTTTAATACTTTGCTCAAAATGTGTTTTTTTTTTATATTGGAGCAGATATGATGAAAATAATCAGAGATTTGTGATACCAAGAAAATGTTCCTGCAGAATGATTGATTTTTAAAACAAATTATTCAACGTAAATTTTTTATATGAACATGGCGGAAGCTTTTCGCTAAAAAAAAATAAAACATTTATAGGAAACGACAATTTAATACCATATAGTTATTGCACTTATTTCAATATTTTGGTATTTGACTAAATGAGCTGAAGATACATAATTTTAGGTCATGATAAAATCGGGCATATGAGGACCGATTTCACAAAATGTAATTCTGTCATTTTAATGTATTTTTCTTTGTTGTTAGCAAGCATAGGAATAAAGTAAGTAAAAATTTGTGATTCTGAGAAAATTTCCTATAAGAATGCCACATGTTTAAGTTGAAATTGTGAATTTAAATTTTATATAAAAATGGAGGATGCGCCGGGAAAATTATTTTTTTAAAATATTTAGTGTAAGAATTGTGAGGAAACCTCTGCTTGAAATTGTATAATTGGGAAGGAACCAAGTGATTTTTTAAATTTCTTGACACCCATTCAAATTAATAGAACAAACAAGAATTTGAATATGAAAGAATTTTTTTTACAGAATAACTTAACAAATTTTAATATTTTGCACAAACTGTGTTTTTTTTTCTGATATTGGAGCAGATATGATGAAAATAATCGGAGATTTGTGATACCAAGAAAATTTTCCGGCAGAATGATTGATTTTAAAAACAAATCATTCAACGTAAATTTTTTATATGAAAATGGTGGAAGCTTTTCGCTAAAAAAAATTCTAAAATTTTTAGGAAACTACAATTTAAAACCATATAGTTATTGCACTTATTTCAACATTTTGGTATTTGACTAAATGAGCAGAAGATACATAATTTTACATTATGATAAAATCCGGCATATGAGGACCGATTTCAGAAAATGTAATTCTGTCATTTTAATGTATTTTTCTTTGTTGTTAGCAAGCATAGGAATAAACTAAGTAAAAATTTGTGATTCTGAGAAAATTTCCTATAAGAATGCCACATTTTAATGTTGTAATTGTGAATGTAAATTTTATATATAAATGGTGGATGCGCCGGGAACATTATTTTTTAAAAATATTTAGTGTAAGAATTATGAGGAAACCTCTGCTTGAAATTGTATAATTCGGAAGGAACCAAGTGATTTTTTAAATTTCTTGACACCTATCCAAATTAATAGAACAAACAAGAATTTGAATATGAAAGATTTTTTTTTACAGAATAACTTAACAAGCTTTAATACTTTGCTCGGAATGTGTTTTTTTTTTCTGATATTGGAGCAGATATGATGAAAATAATCAGAGATTTGTGATACCAAGAAAATTTTCCTGCACAATGATTGGTTTTTAAAACAAATTATTCAACGTAAATTTTTTGTATCAACATGGCGGAAGCTTTTCGCTAAAAAAAATCTTAAATTTTTAGGAAACTACAATTTAAAACCATATAGTTATTGCACTTATTTCAATATTTTGGTATTTGACTACATTAGCAGAAGATACATAATTTTACATCATGATAAAATCCGGCATTTGAGGACCGATTTCAGAAAATGTAATTCTGTCATTTTAATGTATTTTTCTTTGTTGTTAGCAAGCATAGGAATAAAGTAAGTAAAAATTTGTGATTCTGAGAAAATTTTCTATAAGAATGCCACATTTTTAAGTTGAAATTGTGAATTTAAATTTTATATAAAAATGGTGGATGCGCCGGGAAAATGATTTTTTAAAAATATTTAGTGTAGGAATAGTGAGGAAACCTCTGCTTGAAATTGTATAATTCGGAAGGAACCAAGTGATTTTTTAAATTTCTTGCCACCTATTCAAATTAATAGAACAAACAAGAATTTGAATATGAAAGAATTTTTTTTAAAGAATAACTTAACAAACTTTAATATTTTGCACAAAATGTGTTTTTTTTTCTTCTGATATTGGAGCAGATATGAGGAAAATAATCAGAGACTTGTGATACCAAGAAAATTTTCCTGCAGAATGATTTTTAAAACAATCCAATCAACGTAAATTTTTTATATAAAAACGGTGGAGGCTATAAGCTAAAGACATCTAAAATTTTTAGGAAACTTGAATTTTAAAATAAAATATTTGGTATTTGACAAAATTAACAGAATCAAGACCGATTTCAGAAAATGTAATTCTGTCCACTTTAATGAATTTTCTTTGTTATTAATAGTATAATAATAATAATAACATTTACTACCCAATAAAATAATTTGTAATTTCCACTTACAGGACAATATAAACCTAAATTTAATTCAATCTGGTAACAGTATTCAACCCATGTTATTAAAAATTAAATAGCTTAGCTAAAATTACCCAATTATATAAATAAGTACCACCTAAATATATGTTCCAAACATTTTTTTAGTACATTTAAACTGCAACCAAAAAGATCAATCTTGTTATCTCTTTCAAAGTTATTTAAACTTGAACTGATCACATACAATGGATCTTTCCTACCTAAATTAGTTCTTGGGGTTTTACAATATGGTGTAACTGAAGTTTTACTACTAAGCCTAGGGATGAAAAAACACATAAAACCAAGCAACTCACTACAAACTATGACACAATGTAATAATTTATAAAATAATTTATGAATGAATATTAAACCTAACTAACAATGCGTTCTGTGAGCAATTTCTCTCTGGCCATCGCGTTTCTTGTTTAAAAAATAAATATTTAAAAAATCGGCGTTGAACTGATTCAAACACGTTGATCTGGTAACTGTAATAGGAGACCGGCCAGAGAGCAATATTCCAACTTAAAAGTATTAGTAGGAATACGAATAAAATAAGCGAGGATTCGTGATCCTTCGAAAATTTTTATATAAAAATGGTGGATGCGCCGGGATAATAATAATAACAATAAAAATGTGTAGTGTAAGAATTGCGAGGAAACCTCTGCCTGAAATTATATAATTCGGAAGGTACCAAGTGATTTTTTAAATATCTTGACACCTAATCAAATTAATAGAACAAACAAAAATTTAACTTAATAACTTAACAAACTTTAGTACTTTGCACAAAATGCGTTTTTTTCTGATACTAGAGGAGATATGATAAAAATAAACAGAAATTGGTGATACCAAGGATAGGTATTGGAAGACCAATTTCAGAAAATGTAATTTTGTCCGTCCGTTTAATGAATTTTAGTCGTGTTATTAGTAGGAATACGGTTAATTAAGCAAGGAGTTCTGATCCGCAGCATATTTCCTATAAGAATGACACATGTTTAGATTAAAATTGCCAATATATTTTTATATAAAAATGGTGGATGCGCAGGGACAATAAATATTGAAAAATATAATTTTGGGATATTTTAAAATACAACAATTGCAGGAAATTTGCTATTCGAAATCATACATTTCAGTTCAAACCTACCTTAAGAGCAATGAACTATAAATATTTAAGGAAGCGTAACAATTACTAGTTCTAGAAAACACAAAATCAGCTCCTACCTGTATTGTTTGGTGGTCCCTGATTAACTTCTTGATACAGTTAAAAATGAACGTGAAACACATCCCTGCCAAAATTAAAGAAAAAATAACCATGATGACGATGATGTGGTCGTCGTTGAGCGACAGTGTTTGAGCACTCTGAAACATTACGACAAACATATTACAGCCTCAAATCCGCAAACAATTATTTAGGGAGCAGAGCATAAAGGGGATTTCCACTTGACCCAATCGTAAATTTTTTATGGACTCAGCTAACCCGACTTGAGTTCTTTCGGCCATCAACAGGCGATTTACATTTCCGCCACAATTTAAGAGCGGACAGGTAATCGTTATTTAGTGGTCCCGCGAACTATCTCGTCGGCAGAAATTTAAATCGTGGAAATCTCCTCCGGAAATAAGACAAAGAACACGGGGAAAACATAAAATTGCAACTACTGCTCTACGCACTAGGTGGAAAATTTCGGAAAAAAACACTCTCGCTACAACCACACGAAAACTAGGTCCCAATTCTTATTCAAAAACAAACCAATTTTGTTAATAATTTGCCTACAATTTTCAATAAGACAAAAAGCTGAGGGAAAACCAAATTTAAAACTACACTATGAACCAATTTCCAGAGACTTAGCTTAGACACTAACCACTCCTCCCTAAAACAAACACAACAAATTTCAGAGAACACAGAAAGGCAGATATTGTCAGAATAAGACCGGCACACACGAAGCTTCACGTTTTTTAGTTTCGCGTTGATGAATTTCGGGCGCAATTATGAAACTTACAATTACTTGCATTGTTGCTGCGAAAGTGCACACAGCTATATAAAATCGTCGACGCCCAGAATTCATCAACTATTCATCCCCGCAGCACAAAACCCTTAACGACCGCACGTCCGATCCACGAAACAAACTCTAATGCATTTCCTGCTCCCTCCGCGCTAAATCATTTTGGCGGCTTCAGCATTTCCAGGGTGCAATTTTAAATTGCAGTTTAAGATATTCGTTTCGTGGCTGAAGCAGCTCATGTCTGCAGCATTACGGCATGCACCGCACGTTGTAAATACATGAATTTGGGTTGTGGGGTGCATGCACAAGTTGCGGTTTCGTCTGGAATGTGTGTGACGCTCAAAATCCTGCCGAGTCCGTGATTTACCTGGCAGTTGTCTTCGTCCCATCGGAACCGGCAGTTGTAGACGCCGTTGCAGCGCAACTTCTTCGATATGCAGGTGGCATCTTCGCAGCTGAATTCGTCGTCGGTGCAGGAGTCTTTGCCGCTGTCGGCTGCTTACAGAGAGAGATTAGTGAAGGGTTAGGGCTTGGACATACATCGTAATGTAAAGTAGAAAAGTTTTATGGTAATTTGATTGTTTTTTAGAACTATTTGTGGGAATTGGCTCAGTATCCTGGATTAAGCTGTTTTTAAAAATAGCGTCTGACCAACGAAAAATTGGAGAAAAAACTAATTAGGATTAAAGAATTAATCCGTCTTTTTATTTCACAACTATCTGACTAAAATAAGAAAACCAGGTCGAAGTGGAACCAAAATAAAACAAATCGTTTTATTATGAACTAATAAAATTGAATTCTTATTAAAACAAGTTTTTCTCTCTTATATTTTGAGATAAATCGTTTATGGACCGATCTAATAAAATTTAATTCTTTCTAAAACAATTTTTTTTTCTCTGTTATTTTCCGAGATACAGTGAAAATAAGCATAATTTCGTGATCCTAGGAAAATTTCCAACGGGAATGAAACCGTTTCGGACCGAATCAGCAAAATTGAAATTTCTGTTAAAAAAGGGTGGAGGCGCCGGGATAATAAATATTTTGAAAAATATTTATTTAGAATATTTTGAAGACACGTCTAGTTGAAATAGTATAAATTTGAGAAGAGGCTAGAAATTTTCTTAAATATCTTCAAATGTATTTAAAATAATAGAGCAAACACTGATTTGAACCGTAATAAAACGATCTCTTTTCAGGTGGATTTAGTCAACTTTAGTACTTTGAATAAAATGTGTTTTTCTCTGTTGCTTGAAGAACAACAGTGAAAATAGGCAATTTCGTAATTCTGAGAAAATTATGTATAAGAATGTTTTTTTCTGTCAAAGTAACCACCAGTGATTTTTTTTTATAAAATCTTTGAAGGCACCGAAAGAGGATATTTAAAAAAAAATTATGGGTGTTTGAGAAAGTGGCTTTTAGACTATTTTTTTTTAGAATTAATATATTTCTTTTACAATTTCCACGTCTAACTTAATTAAGAAAATCAGCCCAAACTGGAACCGAAATTAAACAAATCGTTTATGAACCGATGTAATAAAATTTAATTCTTACTAAAACAAGTTTTTTTTTCTCTGTTGTTTTCCGAGATACAATGAAAATAAGCATAATTTCGTGATCCTAGGAAAATTTCCAACGGGAATGATACCGTGCTGAAACGAATCAGCAAAATTGAAATTTCTGTTAGGAAAGGGTGGAGGCGCCGGGATAATAAATATTTTGAAACATATTTATTTAGAATATTTTGAAGACACTTCTAGTTGAAATAGTATAAATTGGAGAAGAAGCTAGAAATTTCCTAAAATATCTTCAAATGTATTTAAAATAATAGAGCAAACACTGATTTGAACCGTAATAAAACGAGCTCTTTTCAGGTGGATTTAATCAACTTTAGTACTTTGAATAAAATGTGTTTTTCTCTGTTGCTTGAAGAACAACAGTGAAAATACGCAGCTTCGTAATTCTGAGAAAATTATGAATAAGAATGTTTTTTTTCCGTCAAAGTAACCAACAGTGTTTTTTTTCATAAAATCTTTGAAGGCACCGGAAGAGGATATTTAAAAAAAAATTATGGGTGTTTGAGAAAGCGGCTTTTAGACTATTTTTTTTAGAATTAATACATTTCGTTTACAATTTCCACATCTAACTTAATTAAGAAAATCAGCCCAAACTGGAACCGAAATTAAACAAATCGTTTATGGACCGATCTAATAAAATTTATTTATTTCTAAAACATTTTTTTTTCTCTGTTATTTTCCGAGATACAGTGAAAATAAGCATAATTTCGTGATCCTAGGAAAATTTCTAACGGGAATGATACCGTTTTGGACCGAATCAGCAAAATTGAAATTTCTGTTAAAAAAGGATGGAGGCGCCGAGATAATAAATATTTTGAAAAATATTTATTTAGAATATTTTGAAGACACTTCTAGTTGAAATAGTATAAATTTGAGAAGAGGCTAGAAATTTCTTTAAATATCTTCAAATGTATTTAAAATAATAGAGCAAACAATGATTTGAACCGTAATAAAACGAGCTCTTTTCAGGTGGATTTAATCAACTTTAGTACTTTGAATAAAATGTGTTTTTCTCTGTTGCTTGAAGAACAACAGTGAAAATAGGCAATTTCGTAATTCTGGGAAAATTATGTAAAAAAATTTTTTTTTTTCCGTCAAAGTAACCAACAGTGATTTTTTTTTATAAAATCTTTGAAGGCACCGGAAGAGGATATTTAAAAAAAAATTATGGCTGTTTGAGAAAGAGGCTTTTTGACTATTTTTTTTTAGAATTAATACATTTCTTTTACAATTTCCACATCTAACTTAATTAAGAAAATCAGCCCAAACTGGAACCGAAATTAAACAAATCGTTTATGGACCGATCTAATAAAATTTAATTCTTTTTAAAACAATTTTTTTTTCTCTGTTATTTTCCGAGATACAGTGAAAATAAGCATAATTTCGTGATCCTAGGAAAATTTCCAACGGGAATGAAACCGTTTCGGACCGAATCAGCAAAATTGAAATTTCTGTTAAAAAAGGGTGGAGGCGCCGGGATAATAAATATTTTGAAAAATATTTATTTAGAATATTTTGAAGACACGTCTAGTTGAAATAGTATAAATTTGAGAAGAGGCTAGAAATTTTCTTAAATATCTTCAAATGTATTTAAAATAATAGAGCAAACACTGATTTGAACCGTAATAAAACGAGCTCTTTTTAGGTGGATTTAATCAACTTTAGTACCTTGAATAAAATGTGTTTTTCTCTGTTGCTTGAAGAATAACGGTGAAAATACGCAGTTTCGTAATTCTGAGAAAATTATGAATAAGAATGATTTTTTTTCCGTCAAAATAACCAACAGTGACTTTTTTTTATAAAATCTTTGAAGGCACGAGGGAGGATATTTAAGAAAAAAATTATGGGTGTTTGAGAAAGTGGGTTTTAGAATATTTTTTTTTAAGAATTAGTACATTTCGTTTACAATTTCAACATCTAACTTAATTAACAAAATCAGTCCAAACTGGAACCGAAATTAAACAAATCGTTTATGGACCGATCTAATAAAATTTAATTCTTACTAAAACATGTTTTTTTTTCTCTGTTATTTTCCGAGATACAGTGAAAATAAGCATAATTTCGTGATCCTAGGAAATTTTCCAACGGGAATGATACGGTTTTGGACCGAATCAGTAAAATTGAAATTTTTGTTAAGAATGGGTGGAGGGGCCGGGATAATAAACATTTTGAAAAATATTTATTTAAAATATTTTGAAGACACTTCTAGTTGAAATAGTATAAATTTGAGAAGAGGCTAGAAATTTCCTTAAACATCTTCAAATGTATTTAAAATAATAGAGCAAACACTGATTTGAACCGTAATAAAACGAGCTCTTTTTAGGTGGATTTAATCAACTTTAGTACCTTGAATAAAATGTGTTTTTCTCTGTTGCTTGAAGAATAACGGTGAAAATACGCAGTTTCGTAATTCTGAGAAAATTATGAATAAGAATGATTTTTTTCCCGTCAAAATAACCAACAGTGATTTTTTTTATAAAATCTTTGAAGGCACCGAGGGAGGATATTTAAGAAAAAAATTGTGGGTGTTTGAGAAAGTGGGTTTTAGAATATTTTTTTTTAAGAATTAGTACATTTCGTTTACAATTTCAACATCTAACTTAATTAACAAAATCAGTCCAAACTGGAACCGAAATTAAACAAATCGTTTATGGCCCGATCTAATAAAATTTAATTCTTACTAAAACATGTTTTTTTTATCTGTTATTTTCCGAGATACAGTGAAAATAAGCATAATTTCGTGATCCCAGGAAAATTTCCAACGGGAATGATACCGTTTTAGACCGAATCTACAAAATTGAAATTTCTGTTAAGAAATGGTGGAGGCGCCGGGATAATGAATATTTTGAAAAATATTTATTTAAAATATTTTGAAGACACTTCTAGTTGAAATAGTATAAATTCGAGAAGGGGCTAGAAATTTCCTTAAATATCTTCAAATGTATTTAAAATAATAGAGCAAACACTGATTTGAACCGTAAGAAAACGAGCTCTTTTCAGGTGGATTTAATCAACTTTAGTACTTTGAAAAAAATGTGTTTTTCTCTGTTGCTTGAAGAATAACGGTGAAAATACGCAGTTTCGTAATTCTGAGAAAATTATGAATAAGAATGATTTTTTTCCGTCAAAGTAACCAACAGTGATTTTTTTTATAAAATCTTTGAAGGCACCGGGGGTGGATATTTAAAAAAAAATTATGGGTGTTTCAGAAAGCGGCTTTTAGAATATTTTTTTTAAGAATTAATACATTTCGTTTACAATTTCAACATCAAACTTAATTAACAAAATCAGCCCAAAGTGGAACCGAAATTAAGCAAATCATTTATGGACCGATCTAATAAAATTTAATTCTTTTTAAAACAAGTTTTTTTTCGCTGTTATTTTCCGAGGTACAGTGAAAATAAGCATAATTTCGTGATCCCAGGAAAATTTCCAACGAGAATGATACCGTTTTAGACCGAATCTACAAAATTGAAATTTCTGTTAAGAAATGGTGGAGGCGCCGGGATAATGAATATTTTGAAAAAATATTTATTTAAAATATTTTGAAGTCACTTCTAGTTGAAATAGTATAAATTCGAGAAGGGGCTAGAAATTTCCTTAAATATCTTCAAATGTATTTAAAATAATAGAGCAAACACTGATTTGAACCGTAATAACACGAGCTCTTTTCAGGTGGATTTAATCAATTTTAGTACTTTGTATAAAACGTGTTTTTCTATGTTGCTTGAAGAACAACGGTGAAAATACGCAGTTTACATTTCGTTTACAATGTCAACATCTAACTTAATTAAAAAAATCAGCCCAAAATGGAACCGAAATTAAGCAAATCATTTATGGACCGATCTAATAAAATTTAATTCTTTTTAAAACAAGTTTTTTTTCGCTGTTATTTTCCGAGATACAGTGAAAATAAGCATAATTTCGTGATCTCAGGAAAATTTCCAACGGGAATGATACCGTTTTGGACCGAATCAACAAAATTGAAATTTCTGTTAAGAAATGGTGGAGGCGCCGGGATAATAAATATTTTGAAGTCACTTCTAGTTGAAATAGTGTAAATTCGAGAAGGGGCTAGAAATTTCCTTAAATATCTTCAAATGTATTTAAAATAATAGAGCAAACACTGATTTGAACAATAATAAAACGAGCTCTTTTCAGGTGGATTTAATTAACTTTAGTACATTGAATAAGATGTGTTTTTCTTCTAACAACGGTGAAAATAAGCACAGTTTCGTAATCCCAACAAAATTATGTATAAGAATGATTTTTTTCAAGTAAAATCTTTGAAGGCACGGGGAGAGGATATATAAAAAAAATATTTTAAAGCTGTTTGAAAAAGTGGTTTTAGAATTTTTTTTTTTTGAAGAATTTATAATTTTTTTTTCACAATTTCATCATCCAACTTAATTAACAAGAACAGCCCAAACTGGAACCGAAATTATACAAATCATTTTTGGATCGATCTAATAAAATTTAATTCGAATTCAAACAAGTTTTTTCTCTGTTGTTTCCTAATGAAAATAAGCATGGATTCGTGATACTCAGAAAATTTCCACCGGGAATGATACCGTTTTGTACCGAAACATTGGTATTGAAATTTTGGTTAAAAAATGGAGGAGGCGCCGGGTTAGTAAATATTTTGAAAAACAATTTTTTAAAATATTTTGATTACATTTCTAGTTGAAATAGCATAAATTTGAGAAAGGCCAGAAATGTCTTTAAATATCTTCAAATGTATTTAAAATAAAAGAGCCAACGTTGATTTGAACCGTCATAAAACCAGCTTTTTTTAGATGGGTTTAATCGACTTTAGTACTTTGAAAATAATGTGTTTTCCTCTGTTGCTTGAAGAACAGCGGTGAAAATATGAACAGTTTCGTAATCCTAACAAAATTATGTATTAAAATGATTGTTTTGCCATCAAAGTAACGAACACCGATTTTTTTTAAGTAAAAACTTTGGAGGCACCGGGAGAGGATAAAAAAAAATTAAATCTGCTTGAAAAAGTGGCTTTTAGAATTTTTTTTTGATAAATTGGTAAATTTTTTTCACAATTTCATCATCTAATTTAATTAACAAGATCAGGCCAAACTGGAACCGATATTATACAAATCGTTTTTGGATAGATCTAATAAAATTTAATTCGAATTGAAACAAGTTTTTTTCTCTGTTGTTTCCTAAGATACAGTGAAAACAAGACTAGAGTAGTGATACTCAGAAAATTTCCACCGGGAATGATACCGTTTTGTACCGAAACAGTGAAATTGAATTTTTTGTTAGAAAATGGTGGAGGGGCCGGGATAATAAATATTTTGAAAAACAATTATTTAAAATAATTTGAAGACCCTTCTAGTTGAAATAGTATAAATTTGAGAAGAGGCCAGAAATTTCTTAAAATATCTTCAAATGTATTTAGAATAATAGATCAAAAGCTGATTTGAACCGTAATAAAACCAGCTGTTTTCAGATAGGTTTAATCAACTTTAGTACTTTGAAAATAATGTGTTTTTCTCTGTTGCTCGAAGAACAACGCTGAAAATAAGCACAGTTTCGTAATCCTTTGGGAACTATGTATAAGAATGATCTTTTTGCCATCAAAGTAACCAACACCGATTTTTTTTGTAAAATCTTTGAAGGCACCCGGAGAGGATATATAAAAACAATATTTTAATGCTGTTCGAGAAAGTGGCTTTGAGAATTTTTTTTTTGATGAATTGATAAATTTTTTTCACAATTTCATCATCTAACTTAATTAACAAGATCAGCCAAACTGGAACCGAAATTAAACGAATCGTTTTTGGATCGATCTAATAAAATTTAGTTCCTACTGAAACAAGTCTTTTTCTCTGTTGTTTTCTGAGACATAGTGAAAATAAGGATGGATTCGTGATACTTAGAAAATTTTCACCGGGAATGATACCATTTTTTACTGAAACAGTGAAATTGAATTTTTGTTAAAAAATGGTGGAGGCGCCGGGATAATAAATATTTTGAAAAACAATTATTTAAAATAATTTGAAGACCCTTCTAGTTGAAATAGTATAAATTTGAGAAGAGGCCAGAAATTTCTTAAAATATCTTCAAATGTATTTAGAGTAAAAGATCAAAAGCTGATTTGAACCGTAATAAAACCAGCTGTTTTCAGATAGGTTTAATCAACTTTAGTACTTTGAAAATAATGTGTTTTTCTCTGTTGCTCGAAGAACAACGCTGAAAATAAGCAAAGTTTCGTAATCCTGTGGGAACTATGTATAGGAATGATTTTTTTGCCATCAAAGTAACCAACACCGATTTTTTTTAGTAAAATCTTTGAAGGCACCCGGAGAGGATATATAAAAACAATATTTTAATGCTGTTCGAGAAAGTGGCTTTTAGAATTTTTTTTTTTGATGAATTGATAAATTTTTTTCACAATTTCATCATCTAACTTAATAAACAAGATCAGCCCAAACTGGAACCGAAATTAAACGATTCGTTTTTGGATCGATCTAATAAAACTTAATTCCTATTGAAACAAGTCTTTTTCTCTGTTGTTCTCTGAGACACAGTGAAAATAAGGATGGATTCGTGATACTTAGAAAATTTCCACCGGGAATGATACCATTTTTTACTGAAACAGTGAAACTGAATTTTTTGTTAAAAAATGGTGGAGGCGCCGGGATAATAAATATTTTGAAAAACAATTATTTAAAATAATTTGAAGACCCTTCTAGTTGAAATAGTATAAATTTGAGAAGAGGCCAGAAATTGCTTTAAATATCTTCAAATGTATTTAGAATAATAGATCAAAAGCTGATTTGAACCTTAATAAAACCAGCTGTTTTCAGATAGGTTTAATCAACTTTAGTACTTTGAAAATAATGTGTTTTTCTCTGTTGCTCGAAGAACAACGCTGAAAATAAGCACAGTTTCGTAATCCTGTAGGAACTATGTATAAGAATGATTTTTTTGCCATCAAAGTAACCAACACCAATTTTTTTTAGTAAAATCTTTGAAGGCACCCGGAGAGGATATATAAAAACAATATTTTAATGCTGTTCCAGAAAGTGGCTTTTAGAATTTTTTTTTTTGATGAATTGATAAATTTTTTTCACAATTTCATCATCTAACTTAATTAACAAGATCAGCCAAACTGGAACCGAAATTAAACGAATCGTTTTTGGATCGATCTAATAAAATTTAGTTCCTACTGAAACAAGTCTTTTTCTCTGTTGTTTTCTGAGACACAGTGAAAATAAGGATGGATTCGTGATACTTAGAAAATTTCCACCGGGAATGATACCATTTTTAACTGAAACAGTGAAATTGAATTTTTTGTTAAAAAATGGTGGAGGCGCCGGGATAATAAATATTTTGAAAAACAATTATTTAAAATAATTTGAAGACCCTCCTAGTTGAAATAGTATAAATTTGAGAAGAGGCCAGAAATTTCTTTAAATATCTTCAAACGCATTTAAAATAAAAGAGCAAACACTGATTTGAACCGTCATAAAACCAGCTTTTTTTAGATGGGTTTAATCAACTTTAGTACTTTGAAAATAATATGTTTTTCTCTGTTGTTTGAAGAACAACGGTGAAAATACGTACAGTTTCGTAATCCTGAGAAAGATATGTATAAGAATATTTTTTTTCCATTAAAAAACCACCACTGCTTTTTGCGAAAAAGCGTTGAAGGCACTGGGTGGAAAATATAAAAAAATTTATTTCCAGGATGTTTAATTAGCTGGCTCTTGAAATAATATTTCTTGAAGAATGTATACATTTTTTTCAATATCCCAACATCTAATTAAATTAACAAAACCAGCACAAACTGGAACCAAAAATAAACAAATCGTTTATGTACCGATGTGATAAATTTTAATTTTTAGTAACATTTTTTTCTCTGTTATTTACTGAGATACAGTCAAAATAAGCATATATTCGTGATCTTTGGAAAATTTCCAATGGGAACGATATCGTCTTGAATCGAAACAGTGAAATTGAAATTTTTGTTTAGAAATGGTGGAGGCGCCGGTATAATAAATATTTTGGAAAACATTAATTTAAAATACTTTGAAGAAACTTCCTGTTGAAATTATATATATAAATTTGAGACGAGATTAGGAATTTCTTTAATCATCTTTAAATGTATTTAAAATAATGGAGCGAACACTGATTTGTACCGAAATAAAGCGAGCTCTTTTCTGGTGGGTTTAATCAACTTTAGTACTTCGAATAAAATGTGTTTTTCTCTGTTGCTTGAAGAACAAGGGGAAAATATGAACAGTTACGTGTTTCTAAACTAATTCTAAATTTTTTTATTTAAAGCGCTTCAAGAAATAAAATCAAAGATAAAATTAGTGCAGGATGATCAGAAAAAAATAGCTTTCTAGAAAAATTGTAAAAAAATAGCTTTACATGATTGTTTGTCGATATCCCTGTACGCCGTATAATTCGCCTCGAAGTGCGTCTTGTTGGTCGAGTTGTAAACAGCGAAGAACCGAACAAACATCACGTTCTTCTTGGACAGCACCGTATCAGCCATCGAGCCGCAGAACTTCTTCTCCATGTTAGGCATGTCCGTATTGTTCATAAAAACCTGCACGAAGTTGTTGTCGCACTCGTTGGGCTTGTCCAGCTCAAATTTCTCGAACTGCAGCTGAATCTAAAACCAAGCAACAAGTCACCATTATTTTACCTCATTTGTTTTAAAGTTTCCACTTTCAAACTTTAGTTATGAAGTCGAGACGTACTCCCAACTAAAAATAAACAACGTTGCACTTAAGCAAACTTTCCGACAAAGTCAGTTGTTAATTACAAACTCAATTAACACTTTCAGTTTTACGAAATAAGACTGAATAGCGTCGAACTTAAACTAGTCGTGTCTGATGCAAATGCTGAGTATTGTCGTAAACAGGCTAAAGTTCTGGCTCCCGAAATACCCAATCTGACCCGAGCCGAGCAGAAAACTCCCCAACTTCCAGTGCACAAAAACGATTAAGAAGTTTGAGTGAAGTTTAACGTAAGAATTCGCACCACAAAGCGAACATCAACATCAATTCAAAATTCTTGGCTTGTATGAAATGTAAATACTCGTCCTGAACAATTCCGAAGCGTGGGGAGTTTTACTAAATTGATAATAAGTTGGCAGCACTTTGTGGAAGTTCGTGCTTTAGCGCACAGATACGTTCACTTGTAAAAATTCAGTGAGATTAATGTGCGTGGAATTAAGTCGCTAGAAAAAATTTTGACTCACCTTCTGGTTGGGCTTGACCGTGATCGCCCACACGCAGTCCGTGGCCACCCTGTACCGCTCCGTGAAGTTCCTCACCTCCTCGGGAATGTCGTCGCTTTTGCTGATTTTGCCCTCTTCGGCGTTCTCCTTCTTCACTTGGCATAGCGGCTTATCGGGGCTAGGAACTGGAAAGTGGAGAAGATGATGAATGGAAGAGCAGTGCTCGATATGTGATCGAATGGAATTTTGTGACGGGAGATTTATTTTTCTTTGGAGAGCATGAAGTATTTGGACTATTAAGTGCAAGGACGGCGGCGGAGACGGCGGCTTTTGCTCGAGGAAATGAGATTGCTGAGCTCTTGCAGGTGTTTTATTGCATTGCGGTGTTTCACGGTATTTGTCATTTTCTTAGGGAAATTTAGCGTTTAAGAGATTGATGCTGTTGGTTAATCTAGTCGCTGGATTTATTAGGCTAGAGTGGATGCATGTAAAGTAGTTTGGGCTTGACGGATTCATAATAATGACAATTTATTTTAAATAGTCAAATAATAATTTTCGAATCGCGTACAGACATTAAAATAATTAATTAAATTTATTTTCATTAAATCACGCAACACTTCCCCGGGGCATCAAACATTTTTATGATATCGATTTCCAACTTTTCAACAAAAAAATGTTGAACTACTTTTTACGTTCTTTAAATATAACAAAAAATAGTATGATTTAATACGTAAATTTATGAAGTCACAAAAAAACTCAGCTGTGTTTATTTTTTTGAGCAATTTTTCCGGAGATATTCCGGTCAAAATTTCAGGATTTAGGCCATATCAAGTTATCTCCGCTAAATGTACCTTGATTTGTCTCAAAATTAGTCCTGTTCCTAATTGGAATCTCCCACATAAGAATCTGGGACCAAAAAATGTAGAAGAGCTCTTACTTTTTTTTTCATTCTCTTAATACTCAAGTCTCCCAAAATTTACAAAGTTAGATAAAAATGTGTGCGTAGAGTCTAAACGGGCAAGGATTTCGATCTGAAAACCAACCACAACGACTAGAAAATTTCAAGAGTTCGAATGGTAAAAACCGAAATAAACTGTCTTTGTCCGTTCAAAAACTATGAACCCTCAAACTCCCAATTTTGGCTTTTTGAAATTTGGTTAAAGAAGGATTTTGCTTAAAAAAGTGAAAATTTTCAACAACTGATGCCAAACATGCACTCGGCTGGACAAAATTAGTATAGAAATGTAATGTCCGGCAAATTGAAACATGTTTAATTTTTTGGGCAATTTTTCCGGTGATATTCCGGTCAAAATTTTCGGATTTAGGTCATATCAAGCTATTTCGGCCAAACAAAGCTCGATTTCTCTAAAAATTATTCTTGTCCCTATTTCGAATCTCCTAAAAATGAATCTGGGGTCAAAAAAATGTAGAAGGGCTTTTGTTTTTTTTTTATTTTTACATGTTCGAAAGTCTAAAAAATGTCACAGTCCTATGAATGTGTACATAGATTTTAAACGGACATAGATATCTAGTTGAAAATATAGTCCAATACCCACAAAACTATAAGAAACAGAATGGTAAAAGCCAGAATAGGCTGTCCCTGTCTGTTCAAAAGTTATGAACCGTCAAACTCAAAATTTTGGTTTATTGGGTTTTAGTTAAAGAAACATTTCGCTTAATATAGTGGAAATTTTCAACAATGATGCCAAAAACGCAACCAGCTGTAAGAAATTAGTCTAGAAATATAATTCCAGCAAAATCGAAACATGTCCAATTTTTGGGTTATTTTTCCGGTGATATTCCGGTCAAAATTTTTTTCGGATTTAGGCCATATCAAACTATCTCGGCCAAACATACCTCGATTTCTCTCAAAATTATTCCTGTCCCTATTTAGAACCTCCTGAATATGAATTTGGGCTCAAAAGAAAATGTAGAACTGCTTTTGAATTTTTTAAAATTTTTACAATTTCGAATGTCTAAAAAATGACACAGCCCTATTAATGTGTACATAGATTTTAAACAGACATAGATAACTAGTTGAAAATATATTCCAATACCCACGAAACTATACTAAACAGAATGGTAAAAGCCAGAATAGGCTGTCCCTGTCTGTTCAAAAGTTATAAACCGTCAAACTCAAAATTTTGTTTTTTTGAGTTTTGGTTAAAGAAAAATTTCGCTTAAAATAGTGAAAATTTTCAACAACCGATGCCAAAAACGCAACCAGCTGTACGAAATTAGTCTAGAAATATAATTCCAGCAAAATCGAAAAATGTTTAATTTTTGGGTTATTTTTCCGGTGATACTCGTATTCAGGTCAAAATTTGCGGATTTAGGCCATAATAAGATATCTCGGCCAAACATGCCTCGATTTTTCTAAAAATTACTCTTGTCCCCATTTCGAACTTCGTGAAAATGAATCTGTGGTCAAAAAAAATGTAGAAGGGCTTTTGATTCTTTTTTAATTTTTACATTTTCGAATCTCTAAAAAATGACACAATCCTATGAATGTGTACATAGATTTTTAACGGACATAGATATTTAGTTGAAAATATAGTCCATAAGCCGTAAAGCTATAGGAAATAGAATAGTAGAAACCAGAATACGATGTTCCTGTCTGTTCAAAAGTTATGAACCGTCAAACTCAAAATTTTGTTTTTTTGAGTTTTGGTTAAAGAAAAATTTCGCTTAAAATATTGGGAATTTTCAACAACTGATGCCAAAAACGCGACCAGCTGCACGAAATTAGTCTAGAAACCTAATTTCAGCAAAATCGAAACATGTTTAATTTTTGGGTTATATTTCCAATAATATTTTACAAAATTTTAAAAACCTGGGGGACTAGTGATTCTAGAAATTGCAGAAATTCTAGGGAGGCTCTAAAGGATCTAAGAATTCTGAAGGGGTCAACAGCTAAAATTTTGTTTCGAATACTTGAAAGATTCTAAAGGTTCTAGAGAAATTCTAAAAAGCCAATGATTCTAAAACTTGTAAAAATCGCGTGAACGCTTAAAATGTCAAATACTTATTTTTAAAATTCCAAAAACTTTAAAGAAACAAAAGTTTTAACGACCTAAAAATCGTAAGGATCGGAAAAAAGCTTTCTTTATTTAATTTTTATAAATCCTAAAAGCACTGAAGTCCGTGAACATTCTAATTATTATCTTATAAGTCTTGGAGATTCTAAAGATTCCAGAGACTCCAAAAATTCCAAAGATTTAGATTCTTGAGAAATATAAATTTTAGAAAATCTGAAAAAATATAGAAAGTGTATGATAAATGTGATAGACTTGAAAATGTGAAGATAATGGAATAGGTTGAATTTCAAAATTCTGGTATAACTCGAGCCTGATAATTTTACATTTTAATTCACGCGTAATAACCATATTTTTTGCTATTATTTTTATTAATTAATTCAAGTTATGCAAATACATGTACTTTTTTAATTCAGTTATTCATATATAAACTAGAGAAAAAATTTTCCCCGGGCCTAATACAAATATTGCTCCTTCAACCGAACTAACAGCAACCTGGTTAGCACCTCGAGGCCAAAAAAAGTTTTATTTGATTAAAACCCATCAGGCTTAAACTTTAATTCAGGTTTTAACTCACTCAGTTCATGCAGAATCTACCGAATCGTTAAAGAAAATAAATAATGAAACAAGACAGTCGTTTGCATTATTTAAAGCGAAGCAGATTGCTCGCACGAAAATCCTAGGTAGTTGGAGAACTCAAATAATCACAAGTAAGTTTGACATGTACGAACATTAACTAAATGAACAAACTCTTGTACCAATAAGACATCTTAACTCTGTTCCACCTTTCAGTTTTCTATTTTTAACCGAAAGTTTCCTATCTCTCTAGGAAGTTTAATGTTGTAAGTAACGAACACGAAAGAGCATGTTAAAATTTTACCTAGTGGCTGTTCGTGATCTTACAATTCGATATTCTCGAGATTCGAGACTCAAAACACAAAATGATGCATTTCTCGAATCAACGTCTTCCGGGCAAACGTGTGAGTTATTTTTTCATTAAAATCGAAAATAAGCTTTTGTTTGATTAACAAACATTCCAGCTTGTTAATTCCATTTGGTTTAATTTCATGCTTGAATATTTAATTTTCGTTACTTCAGTGACACTTATCTGTTCTTATTGTAACTAAAACCTAACACAATCAAAAACACTAACATTTAAATAACGCCACTGTTAACATTCCTCCAGCGACCCTCATAAATACGCTCTACTCATTTTGCTACCGCTATATTGCAAGCTTTGAATCTCTCCCCAACAACAGCAACACTTGTTTCGGAATAACTCGCAACATCATCCCCTAAAAAATAAAACCCTCCACCCTCTGCTCCTTCTCCTCTTTTATTCTTTCATTGCTGGCATAAATCTCTCGCCCCATATATCGTGCTATCTGCTCATAAATCGCACAGCATGTGTTCTTTTTATCTAATATTAATTCGCGTGTTCTTCGCTGCGTTTCGCCACCTTGCGTTAACTTCTTCATTTTATCGCCCTGTGGAACAACGGCGAGCTTTTAAGCGCCTGTGTAACTATAAATTCTTAAATGTGAGGATACAGTGAGTGACGCTTTGACAAACTGCTTGAGTAAAAACGCACATGTAACTATGTACAGCGAAACCGGTCGATAGCCACCTCTCCCGTATTGAAAATCCCGTCGCCGTTTCCTTTTATTTGCGTACGGTGAATCTTTGAGAGCATCCAATATGGTTAGCTGCGTTCTCTTTTATTAATCTGTTAGTTTCGCCTTTCATCTCTCGATATTTATTCGTCTATTTGCGTCAAACGGGACATTACAATAATGGAGATACGCCGAGCGCTGTCTTTTGTTTTCCATTATTTATTCATCGATTGCGCAATTCAATATCGGGGCGCTTTTTATTGGACATCTTGTTACACATTTTTGTTAAGATATTACGTTTCAGCGTTCGCATGTCTTCTGTTTCGCGTTTTAAAGGAAATGATGGAAAATGGCGTGCGTGCTGGGGTGTCTTTGTGTCTGTCATGATTGAGATGTTTTTTGTTACGTATTCAAGGATGCTAGTTTGGGGATGAGGAAATGAGAGACTGGCGGGTGGAGTGGGGAAGATCGGGTTTCTGCTAAGTGAAAAGCTAATAACGTTCGATTTCGGGAAAAAATGTGTACGGAGGAGTGGAGGTAATTAATCAAAGGGAGAAACATGATTTGTCAAAAGTTGTGAAAAATGGGCTGCGTGAGGTTTATTGGGTGTGTGTGGAATAGTTGGGCGATTAAAAATGGCACAGGAGTTTTATTATGTTTATAGAGTGGCGGCGGGCATCCGACTGAACATGCGAACTTTAACATTTTTTCTAACGGAAACACCGTTTTGCAAAACGCATAATTATTCGTGCTGATCTAAACAAAAAGCAGAGGAAAAAAACTGCCAGGTGTGGGATTCGAACCCACGCTCTCATTCGAGAGTCAAAGCTTAAATCTAACGCCTCAGACCGCTCGGCCAACCTGACTACACTCAATTGTCTTATTTATAAATCTATACTTTCCTATTAAGCTATATGAGGGGATAGTCGCCATGACAAGCGTTCAATAAGAATTAGTGGGTCTCCCAGTTCAGGTCAAATGAGATCAAACTGAGATAGGAGCCCCATTATATAGCTACGTACGATCCATAAGTTTTGAACGTACAAAGGCAACGTATTCTGGTTTTTAACTTTCTATTTCCCATAGAGTTTCGTATATTGGACTTTGGACTATATTTTCAGCTGGATATCTATGTCCATTTATATTCTACATTCACATATTCAATGGACGGTGTAATTTCCGGTAGATTCGAATATCTAAAAATAAAAAAAAAATATCAAGAACCCTTCTATAATTGTTTTGGCTCTAGATTCTTATTAAGGAGGTTCGAAATAGGGACAGGAGTAATTTTCAGGCCGAGATAGCTTGATAGGGCCTAAATCCGAAAATTTTGACCAGAATATCACCGGAAAAATAGCCCAAAAATGAAACATTTTTCGATTTTGCTGAAATTATGTTTCTAGGATAATTTCGTACAGCTGGTTCCGTTTTTTGCATCGATTGTTGAAAATTTCCACTATTTTAAGCGAAATTTTTCTTGAACAAAAACTCAAAAAACCAAAGTTATGAGTTTGACAGTTCACAACTTTTGAACAGACAAGGACAGCCTATTCTGGCTTTTACCATTCTGTTTCATATAGTTTTGTGAGTATTGGACTCTATTTTGAACTAAATATCTGTGTTCGTTTAAAATCTATGTACACATTTATACGACTGTGTCATTTTTTTAGACATACGAAAATGTAAAAATTAAAAACAAATCAAAAGCTCTTCTACATTTTTTTTGACCCCAGATTCATATTCAGAAGGTTCGAAATAGGGACAGGAATAATTTTGAGAGAAATCGAGGTATGTTTGGCCGAAATAGTTTGATATGGCCTAAATCTGAAAATTTTGACCGGAATATCGCCGGAAAAATAGCCCAAAAATTAAACATGTTTTGATTTTGCTGAAATTATACTTCTAGACTAATTTCGTACAGCTGGTTGCGTTTTTGGCATCGGTTATTGCAAATTTCCACTATTTTAAGCGAAATTTTTCTTTAACTAAAACTCAAAAAAACAAAATTTTGAGTTTGAAGGTTCATAACTTTTGAACAGACAGGGACAGCCTATTCTGGCTTTTACCATTCTGTTTCCTATAGTTTTGTGGGTATTGGAGTATATTTTCAACTAGATATCTATGTCCGTTTAAAATCTATGTACACATTCATAGGACTGTGTCATTTTTTAGACATTCGAAAATGTAAAAATTAAGAAAAAAATCAAAAGCCCTTCTACATTTTTTTTGACCCCAGAATCATATTCAGGAGGTTCGAAATAGGGACAGGAATAATTTTGAGAGAAATCGCGGTATGTTTGGCCGAGATAGTTTGATATGGCCTAAATCCGAAAATTTTGACCGGAAAAATTGCCCAAAAATTAAACATGTTTCGATTTGGCTGAAATTAGGTTTCTAGACGAATTTCGTAGAGCTGATTGCGTTTTTGGTATCGGTTGTTGATAATTTCCACTACTTTAAGCGAAATTTTGTTTTAACCAAAACTCAAAAAACCAAAATTTTAAGTTTGACGTTTCATAACTTTTGAACAGACAGGGACAGCCTATTCTGGCTTTTACCATTTAGTTTCGTATGGTTTTGTGGGTATTGGACTATATTTTCAACTAGATATCTATGTCCCTTTAAAATCTATGTACACATTCATAGGACTGCGTCATTTTTAAGACATTCGAAAATATAAAAATTAAAAAAAAATCAGAAGAACCTCTACATTTTTTTTGACCGCAGATTCATATTCAGGAGGTTCGAAATAGGGACAGGAATAATTTTGAGAGAAATCGAGGTATGTTTGGCCGAGATAGTTTGATATGGCCTAAATCCGAAAATTTTGACCGGAAAAATTGCCCAAAAATTAAATATGTTTCGATTTGGCTGAAATTAGGTTTCTAGACGAATTTCGTAGAGCTGATTGCGCTTTTGGTATCGGTTGTTGATAATTTCCACTACTTTAAGCGAAATTTTGTTTTAACCAAAACTCAAAAAACCAAAATTTTGAGTTTGACGTTTCATAACTTTTGAACAGACAGGGACAGCCTATTCTGGCATTTACCATTCAGTGTCGGATGGTTTTGTGGGTATTGGACTATATTTTCAACTAGCTATCTATGTCCCTTTAAAATCTATGTACACATTTGTAGGACTGCGTCATTTTTAAGACATTCGAAAATGTAAAACTAAAAAAAAATCAGAAGAACCTCTACATTTTTTTTGACCCCAGATTCATATTCAGGAGGTTCGAAATAGGGACAGGAATAATTTTGAGAGAAATCGAGGTATGTTTGGCCGAGATAGTTTGACATGGCCTAAATCCGAAAACTTTGAGCGAAATATCACCGGAAAAATTGCCCAAAAATTAAACATGTTTCGATTTGGCTGAAATTAGGTCTGTAGATTAATTTCGTACAGCTAGCTGAATTTTTGGCAACGATTATTGAAAATTTTCACTATTTTAAAAGAAAAATTACTGTAATCAAAACTCAAAAAACCAAACTTGTGAGTTTGACGGTTCATAACTTTTGAACAGACAGGGACAGCGTATTCTGGCTTTTATAATTCTGTTTAGTATAGTTTTGTGGGCATTGGACTATATTTTCAACTAGATATCAAAGTCCGTTTAAAATCTATGTACACATTCATTGGACAGAGTCATTTTTTAGACATACAAAAATGTAAAAATAAAAAAAAAATTAAAAGCCCTTCTACATTTTTTTGACCCCAGATTCATATTCAGGAGGTTCTAAATGGGGACAGGAATAATTTTGAAAGAAATCGAGACATGTTTGGCCGAGATATTTTGATATGGCCTAAATCCGAAAATTTTGACCGATATTCCGGTCAAAGTTTTTAACACTAATCTTTCGTGCTTTCAGATTTTCATTATTTTTAGATAGTTCAGTTTCTCTAGAATTTTAAATATTTGGAATCTGTAGGATCTTCTCTTCTCTACCTTTTTTTAATTTCATTGGTTTGGTTGATTAGATGAGCACTGAATATTACTACGTGAAGAAATTAGATAATTAGACCTAAAAAAATAAATTACTTTTTTAATTAATTAATAATTGTTTTATTTTCGGCACCAAAGTAATTCAATTGTACTTCGTCTTCTCATCCGAACACACTTCTTTCTTAAAGTAGGTGCATTCAATTGTGCTACGTCTTCTCATCTGAACACACTTCTTTCTTAAAGTAGGTAGTGGTGCAATGGTACCCCCCCACAATAATAAAACAATCGTTAAAATGGGCATACATTTTTGGCAAACTGGGTTGACAAACACAATAATAAAACGGTATCGTATAAAGTTTTCATTGAAACAACTATGTACAAGCCGTAAAAGTTAAAAGCTCCCACATCACGTTAAAACAAAACTCTCGCTTAAACATTCCAAATATCCCGCTTCCACCCGATATACGAAACCAGCATGCAAACCTACGCTTCATTACGTTATCGAACTACAATAATTCGAGCCTAAACAATACTCCCAAATGAAACCATTGTATTTCCCTCCTTACTAATTATTCACTGCACTACAACCCGGTCTTTATTTGTGTGAAAAATGTGCTCAGACGCGATCAATTAATTAATTTGTTAACCCACGTCACGTAGCTGCGTAGCAACTATCAATCAAACGCGATTATAATTACTTTGATTTAATCCCTACGCAGTGAATTGGCGAATATTTAAACCCAAAAATCAGACTCCGTGTATGGATTTCCAACATAAATAATGGAACGCGTGGTATTTTCATAAATCCTGGTATTTGTAAGTGAACGATCCTAAAATTAATTTAACTTTGGAATTAATATTTCTTGGGAGACAATATTTGGAGCACGATTTTTGCCGAACCCGGATTAATCCGGGCCGAAACGAGTATCAGTTTCGCCGCGTCGTACGGACCGAGAGTGAATCCCGGATTAGATTACGAGGAGGTGTTATCAATCTCGTCGCTAAATTATCCAGTTAAGCGGAAACACAAGACAACGGCTCGTGCGAACGAAGAAATAAACGTCAGGATTAATGTATGATAGAGTTACACGTGTGGATGCTGACGGTTACAAGCATCCCGAGATTTAATAATATTTTTTCAGTCGCTTTAATCTCTTAGTCTCTTTAGCGGAAAGAACACAAGTTCGACAATAACAGTTTCAAGTTTTCTGTTTGCAAAACGTGACGTTTTCCGTATGAGCACTAAACTTTCATCATCAATAACCCCATACTTACACCCCGGCGGCCTGTCGACGTACTCGAACACCGCCCGGAAGCCCCGGTACTCGATATTTTCGTCCGACTTGAAGTGGATCCACAAGTACCTATCCGAAGATTGAATAATCGGAGGAAACTCGTTTATCCCGCAGAACTTCTTCTCGAGGAGAGTGTTGTAACCGTGCATGCCGTCCCTGACCTCGAGGAAGTCGTTGTCGCAGTTGGAGCTCTCCTCGATCTCGAAGTAGTCTCGGAAATCAAGGCGGATGATTTTGTTAGCGGGAGCTGAAACAAGTAAACACATTTAAAAATTGTTCCTTCTGGCTATAGAATTTCGCAAGTGCCACCACAATACTCCCTCTTTTCTTTAATCTCAGACCTATATCCGCAGCGCCGCAATCACAGAATCCTTTGATAACCCGCGTCTACATTATTTCTATAATAATCGAGTTTCTAACCACCAGGGGCTGGCGTCCCTTTGCGCTCCATTCTCCTTTCATTTTTGCGCTTCTTCACCACCTAAAATTAGTGCGTGCCGCTGAAGCGATAATGCAGATAGCACAATTAGATTACAGCATGCAGCAAAGCCCGAAAATAAATACCCTGAAAAATGGTCGGATTTACGGCGACACGAAACGTGATTAATTACCAGTTGTATCAGCGAACAATTCTCTATTTTGCGCAGTCTATACAATTGTCTCAACCCAGATAAAGTTTATAGTTGGTGAAGTCGAGACACAAAGGGAGATTTATCGAAAATTATTTTGAGGCGCAACGGTGCGATAAACTTCAATTATGGCAGAGAAAATTTCGTGGTATCGGCTTATTTCTCTCGTGCGGTAAATAAGCGTTATCGACCGATTGTGAGCAATCTTCGGGTGCCTCTCGGACGAACTTCTGGCTGTTGAGAAGTACTAATGAACTTTCTCATAATAAAATTTGGCATGATCGTGGAACTAGCGCAAGATAAACACGGGTCAGTTTACTTTGAGATTTATCGAGGGAGGTTGGTAAGTTTTCGTCTGCTATGCAGAGAATTCGTTTCTTTATTGCGTGGAGAATGTCGGCTGGGGTGAACTCCAAAGTCAACAACATCATTTTAGGTCCAACAACATATTGATTCTGGGTTAAATCGTGCAATTATTCGTTGGTGACAGGTTTAGGTTGGATACACTGTATGCATCGAGCTAAGTAGCCTTGGGTCGCGAAACAATATGAGTCCCCATTTCCGATGCACTCGAAACTCGCGCCACCAGACATCGACACAATCGCACTCCGTTCCGGGGAATTATCAAAATATTCGGTGCGTCCTGGCGTGAATGGTCGTCCCCGTGATGGATGTTTAGGTCGCGTCCGACGTTCCGTCCAGGGTTATCTCCCCATTCACGCCGACCCATACAAAGCCCGCATAGTTTTTATCGCGCTAACTCGTTTCCAAAACAGATATTTTGTGACGATAAAAAAGTCATCATTTTAATTGCCGCCGACGGGCCGGGGGTTTTTATGTATATGATTAACGACGCGGAATGAAACGGGTTTGTAAAGAGAATTTTTATGGAGCCACGATTAATAGTAGTTTTATCTGATGTGAGCCACGAAGCTACGTGTCGGCTTTGAAAGGTTCGTCGGTATCGAGAGTCCAGGTTTTGTGCGAAATTTCCCAAATTCTGGAGTGGCTCTGATTTCAATCGAACTTTAATTATTTTTCTCGTCGCGATATTTAAACGCCGGTGGTAATGGATTTGGAATCGGCGCTGCTGCTGAAAACACCATTATTGAGTTATAAACTCGTTTGGTAGACAGATGCCGGACTTGTTTATTCATTTCGGGCGATTATGGGGAAGTGTGAGGCCGCCACTGATCGATGTTACATATTCCACCGTCGTTAAATCCGACTTCTTTGCTTCGTTGGCCCGAAAGTGAGCCGAGAAATTCGGGTTGCTACAATTACCAACACTCCAACGCACAGTCTTTTTAGCAGTGCGGGCGGAGGCATCCCAGAGGGTGTAATTCTGTTTGCTCACATATCCATCCACTCGGAACGAAATTCATCAGTAAACAAATATTCGAGGGGTTGATACTCCTGGAATGGCTCGAGGCAAACTTTGTGCATGTTAAGAGATTACTTTTGGGGAAAAATTAGGCCTTTGTTGCTTTCTAATTAAAGGTGTGGTATTAATGGGGGTATCCGTAAAAATTAATTGGCGGAATTTCGCCGGGGGCGCGATGATGAAAAGGACAGGTTAGAAACGGGGTCGCGAGGTCCGGAATGTATTTATTGTTTACATAATGTCTGTGGTATAGAGGTAAATAACCGAAACATTTATCTCACATATTTATTTTGCCCTTTCCTCCGCATTTTTTACTTTTATTAATTCACTAAAAGGGAGTTCGGCCCAGAGGTACAGTTTTTAAAAACGTATATTAACTTTACTTTTTTAATCAGAATAATCCACTTACTATATTTCCAGATTTACAACAACAGTGGTTCATTTTCCGAATTCCTAAAAGCAAATATTTTTAAAATTGGTTGTATCCCGGCGCCTCCACCATTTTTACGCAAAATTCAAATCGCAGTTTCGGTTCCAAAAGGAGTTATGTTTGTGCGGAATTTTGTCAGGATTACGAATCTGTGCTTATTATTACTGTGTCTCTATAAACAACCAAAAAATAATAATTTGCCCAAAAATTAACTAGAGAACAGAATCTGAGCCAATGCTGGGCGCTCAAGGTCGCTTTTGGATAGGTAGGGATCGTTTATACATACAATATACTTTTTTCAGCATTTTCAAAGTAGTCACTTTTAGTTAAGAAATTAGATAGCCTGTGACAAGATTTTTGTGCCAGATATTTTTGCTCACTTGTGGAGATTTATACATCTTGGGCTATTTTGTCGGGGTACTGTTGCCCTACTACCTATTTCAAGAAAGACGTGTGTTCGGATGAGAAGACATAATACAATTGAATTTCTGCTGTGTGGAAAAATGTGTCTGTAAATACAAAAGAAGTCAAGCTATTTGGAAAAGCGCATCATTACTTCTAAAGTCCACAGTTTCCTCTTAAAATTTCTTAAATATTCTTCAGGCAAAATAAATATTGTCATGACTCGACTTGACGTGGGCTAATTTGACCGAAGTGATCAAAAATATCCAAAGAATATGGTTTTAATTGGAAGTGTTGTCAGGATCACAAATCTGTCTTTATTGCTGATATATCTCCTCAAACTTCTTTCCTTTTGTAAAAAAAATAACTTGATCAAATCTGGCTTTAATTTTGTGGATGGGTGTTTTTTGTACTTTATTAATTAACTGTAATAAATGAATCGAGCAAGTTAATTTACGTTTAACTTCTAATTGAGGTCTAAAACCTTCGAAGATAAGTTAACCCATGATTAAAAAACTGAACCGAATCTCAACCTTCGTTATAACCTCACATATCACTGATAAATTGACATTTGACAGCTTTCGAAGTCGTCAGAAGAGCGTTTCAGACACGAAGTAGCATACCATGTCTTCTCGTACCATCGCAGCAACTAGCCCCACCCACCTCCTCTATTCTTAGAAGGTATCTAATTTGCCGAATTCAGTCTTATTTTAGCAGGTATTAGCCCCGCCCACCCACCCTTCTTTCCTTGGAAGGTATGTTATTTGCAAAATTAGTTTTATCGTAGCAAATACTAGTCCCACCCACCCACCCTCTCTTTCTTAAAAATCTTACCTAAACTGATTTTGGCAAATGACATACCCCCTAAGAAAACAGAGGGTGGGTGGGCGGGCCTATTACCTGCTAAGATAAGAGTGATTTTGGCAAATGAGATACTCTCTATGAAAAGAGAAGGCTGGTGGGTGGGGCTAGTACCTGCTAAGATAAAAGTGATTTTGGCAAAAGACTACTAGTCCCGCCCACCTATCCTCTCTTTTCTTAGAAGGTATGTCATTAGCCAAAATAAGTGTTATCTTAGCAGTTACTAGCCCCGCCCACCCGCCCTCTCCCTTTTTAGAAGATATGTCATTTGCCAAAATCAGTTTTATCGTAGCAGCTACTAGCTATGATAAGACTGATTTTGGCAAATCACATACCCTCTAAGAGAAGAGAGGGTGGGTGGGCGGGGCTAGTACCTGCTAAGATAAGAGTGATTTTGGTAAATGAAATCTTTCTAAGAAAATAGAGGGTGGGCTCATGAGAGACCTTCTAAGAAAAGAGAGGATGGGTGGGCGGGGCTAGTACTCGCTATGATAAGACTGAGTTTGGCGAATGACATATTCTTTAAGAAAATAGAGGGTGGGTGGGCGGGGCTAGTACCTGCTAAGATAAGACTGATTTTAGCAAATGAGGTATAAGTTTAAAGGAATCTGGGGTTTTGTTACTGGATGAACTTCCAAAAATCTTTCGAGGTTTTAGTGTTTTATTTTATTAACGAATTTGAAAGTCTTGGGTGCCGTTGTGTGTTTTTTTTTAATCGGGAGCCTCTTGTGTATTATTTAGGAAGCCCGTGGAGATTTTTTTTGTAACTTATTTAAAATAATTTAGGGGGGCCTTGGAGTTCTATTTTTGGAAAATTCTGACCTTTCCCATTTTTGAGTTAATTTTGAGACCCCTTGTTTTTGAAAAAATAAAAATAATGTCGAGATTCTAGGTATTTCTGTTTGGAAAATATTTGACACTGCTTTGGAGCCTCTAGTGTCTTTTCTTATAATAATTTAATTATATTTCTTAGAGGATACGTCATTTGCTAAAATCAGTCTTTTCCTATCAGATACTAACCCCACCCACCCACCCTGTCTGTTCTTAGAGTATATGTCATCTGCCAAAATCAGTCTTATTTTAGCAGCTACTAGACCCGCCCACCCACCCTCTCTTTTTTAGAAGATATCTAGTTTGCCTAACTCAGTCTTATTTTAGCAGGTATTAGCCCCGCCCACCCATCCTCTCTTTTCTTGGAAGGTTATTTGCAAAATTAGTTTTCTCGTAGTAAATACTAGTTACACCCACCCACCCTCTCTTTCCTTGGAGATCTTATCTAAACCGATTTTGGTAAATGACATACCCTCTAAGAAAAGAGAGGGTGGGTGGGCGGGACTAGTACCTGCTAAGATAAGAGTGATTTTGGCAAATGAGATACCCTCTATGAAAAAAGAAGATTGGTGGTTGGGGCTAGTACCTGCTAAGATAAAAGTGATTTTGGCAAATGACTACTAGTTCCGCCCACCTATCCTCTCTTTTCTTAGAAGGTATCTCATTAGCCAAAATCAGTGTTATCTTAGCAGCTAATAGCCCCGCCCATA